GAGCAAGGGGGAGAGGGAACCCTCCACAAAGATGGGGCTACCATGGAAGGAACCCATTCTTGAGTAACTGTACCTAACAAACACCCACAATGCACCACCCCCTGAAACCCCCACAAAACCCTCCAAGTTAGGCAACAAACATATGAGACAAAAATACATAACCATATATACATAACCTAATATACTTAACCCTCATGAAACTCAAGTACAAACCACTGTGAGCCCAATATACCTCTAGGAAGGGAAAGCCACATAAAGCAGAACTAAGGGCCCCCAGAAGAGGACTGACTTCCTCATCTCCAACAGGGCCAGCTTACCCAAGGAGATTAAAACAAGCAACAATGAACATAAATGATGAAAGACCTCAGTCTATAAACACACCAGTACAGAACAACAGACTATGGTACACTAGCTCCCTGGAAAGAGGAGAGAACCCTCAGACCACTGGGGCACTCCCTGATGAAACTCCAGGAAGGTCAGCAGGCAGGACCCAAACCAACAGGACTCAGAACAACCCAAGACACACACCCAAGAACACAAGGGCAAACATCAGAATTGCCACACTCAACATGCAAGGCAGAGGCGCAAACACAATATATGACAGTTGCAACAAATGGCACACAATAAATAACTACATAAATCATAATAAAATAGGGATAATGTGCCTACAAGAAACACACCTAGACAAACAACAAACCAACCAAATAAACAACTTCCACCACAGACTAAAAGTAATCTCCTCAATAGACCCAAAGCACCCCAACACAAAAGGAGTAGCAATCGTCCTGAACAGTTGCCTAACCACTACACAAAGAATCACTGCAAGAACACTCATCCCAGGAAGAGCACTCCTAGCAGAGATTCCCTGGCATGGAACAGAAACTTTAACAATACTAACCATCTATGCACCAAACAACACAAACAAGAATTGCTCATTCTGGGTAACATTACAAGAAATGTGGGAGAACAACACAACCAACCTACCATGGCCAGACATAATGACTGGCAACTTCAACCTAACTGAAGATCCCATAGACAGGAGCAATGGCTGATAAAACAATGAAGGAGCAACAACAGCCCTAAGTGACCTGAGACAAACACTAGGACTGATAGATGGATGGAGACACACCTTCCCAACAATGAGAGAATATACACTCATCCACAGGGGCAACAACCATCAATCCAGAATAGACTGAATCTACACCACACCCATGCTCCATGAAAATGCCAAAGAATGGAGGACAGAACACTCACCAGTAATAAGCAACTACAAACTCATCTCAGTCAAAATAGCCCACCAGAATGCACCATTCATTGGCAAAGGGAGAAGAACCATTCCCACCCACATTATAGCCAACCAGAAGTTCATCCAGATAGCTGAGAGAGAGGGCTTGAAAATACAGACCAAAATAGAGGAAATCCAAAACAAGAGCAAACCCCAAAGTGAGGAAGAAAATCCCCAAACACTATGGGCCAGACTAAAAAGCACCCTAATGAAAGAAGCAATGAGCCTCACAAAGAAACTGACCACCTACCTGGACTGAAGGGCCAGAGAACTAGATCTCCAGATACATCTAATAAACAACAATCCCACAGTAGAGGATGAAGGGAGGAAACTATCCATTGCACTACTAAACCAAGAATGAACCAAAGTAGAGGAGAAAGGATCCTAAACTGGAAACAAGCCTCAAACACAAGATTTAGATTAGAAGGAGAAACAATCAGTAAATACTGGGTCAACATCAACAAAGAAAAGAAGCTGAGAGACATGATAAGGAAACTCCAGAAACTGAATGCAGGGGACAATAATATACCCAAATACAAAACCAAATCTACAAAAATGGCAGAACTGGCACATGACTACCATGAAAACCTGCAGTGTGATGCCACAAACAATGGAGAGGGACCAAGGGAAAGAGCCACAGAAAAAGCCCTACAAAACACACCCCAGATAAATAACCAGACAAAGGCAAACCTAGCAAAAAAGATAAACACACTTGAAACAAGTGTAGCCCTCACATCAGCATCCAATGGAAGAGCAGCTGGAATGGACAGAATACCATACAAACTATGGAAAACCCTAAATGAGAGACACACAAACCTAAGGAAAACAAATGACAGGAGAAGCTTTGACATGATCAAAACCCTCACAATGGTATTCAATGACATAGAAGATCACAGAACCCACACAGGAACAAAATTCAATAAAGGGTGGATGTGCCCAATCTACAAAAAGAACAAGGTAACAAACATAGCAAACTACCACCCAATTATGGTACTCAACACAGACTACAAACTCATGACAAAGGCACTACAGGCCAAACTCGCCAATGCCACACCCAAAGTAATAAACAAAAACCAAGCAGGGTTCATGAAAGGCAGAAGCATCTTCAACCACATAAAAACAATACAAATGATCACAGAATATGTGGAACTCACAGAGGAACTGGAGGGAACTATAGTAGCACTCAACCAAGAAAAAGCATATGATAAAATCAAACATGACTACCTGTGGTGGATGCTAGGAAAACTGAACCTACCAAACAACTTCATAAAAATGGTGAAACACCTATACACAAATGCCAAAACCCATGTTATGATCAATGGGGAACTAAGCTCCCCCTACACAGTAAAAAGAGGCATAAGACAAGGAGACCCCCTGTTGTGCCTCCTGTTTAACCTCACAATAGAACCCCTCACCCAAATGATACAAACCTCCAACATAGAAGGCCTCAAAATACCAAGACTAAGAGAAAACCTAAAAGTCCTCCTATTCATGGATGACACCATAGTTTTTCTGACCAAAGAGGACTCCTTCAAAGAACTAACCACAATACTAGACACCTGGTGCAAAGCCTCAGGTGCAAAATTCAACAAAACAAAAACAGAAATAATACCAATCAGATCAAGAGCCCACTGAGACAGGATCTGGGCAAGCCAAGGGATGAAAGACAAATCAACAGCCATACCAGAGGAAATACACATTGTGCAAGAAGGTGAACTGACCCACATCCTAGGCACATGGTTTGGAAACATGGAAAGTGAACAACCATGGACAACCATAGTGGACAAAACACAAACACAACTCACAAGATGGAACAGGAGCCACCCAACCCTAGAAGGAACCAGACTAATCAATCAGGTGGAAACCAGAGGGAGAACCCAATACCTAACCAAAGCCCAGGGCATGCCGCCAAACATCAAGGATAAAATAGAAAAAATAATAAAAGAATACATGTGGGGGACAAACAGAGCCCCAATCAATATGTCCAAGATGGCACAACCACCCCACCAAGGAGGAAGGAAAATAATCTCCATCAAAAAAAGAAACCTAGCAATCACTGCCACTGATGTCCAGAGCTACCTAAAAATGGACAACACAAGACCCGAATGGGCATACCTAGTAGATGAGATAGTAAGAAGGGCCTACGACCCAGCACTAAGTGCCTCTGACAATGACCTGCGAACAAACATCATATTCCAGAAGTGGAAAAAACCCAAGGCAAGCCGGAAACTGACAAAAACAGCAAAAAAGCTACTCACAACCATAAAAAAGCTAAGAGTCCAAATTGAAGTCGACAAAGTGGACAACCTCAAAAAGGAACTACCAATCTGGCTGCACCTGGGCACAAGAGAAGACATGAGACAAGACACCTTCACAGCAATAAGCAAACACCTAAGAATGAAACACAACATAAACACTGTGGGTGAAACACTCACCCTGGCCCGAACAGAAATAAGCCATAACCACCAAAACGACACAGAATGCGAATGTGAAATGTGCCTAAAACTGGAAAGGGAACACAGGTGCCAGAACCCAAACACATGTATCAAACAAGCCCAAAAGCTCCTAAACAAACTACAAACCAAATGGAAACCACAGAAGGAGCCAGAAGAAAATGAAACTGAAGAAAACTGGGTGAAAAACCAAAAAGACCTAGCTCAGGAACCCGAGAAAAAGACTTTCATCTTTAACAAAGAAACCACTGCAAAAACCATGAATGATCTCCTGAGAATCCTCACACATGAAAAACGAGAAACCACAGCCAACCACAGGAAGAAGAACAACAAACAAGGCAGTGGCAAAATCTACACAGACAGAGGATGCAGAAACAACGGCTCCCATCAAGCCAAAGCAAGCAGTGGTATTTTCTTTGGAAGAAACGACCCAAGGAACCTAGCCGTACGAGTACCAGGGAAAGAGCAGTCGAATCAAACAGGAGAAATCTACGCAATAATCAAGGCAGCCGAGAAAATGGACCAGGAAATGAATCTTGAAATAATCTCCGACTCACTATACACCATTAAAGGCCTAACCACAAACCTCGAAAGATGGGAAGACCATGGATGGATCAGAATAAAAAACCGAGAATGGTTCCAAGAAGCGGTAGCAGGCCTGAGAACCAGAGAAGGAAACACGACCATAACATGGACAAAAGGCCATGCAAATAACGAAGGGAATGAAGGAGCTGACAACCTAGCTACAGCTGCCCTAGACAAACCCGAGGTCAACCATGTCCAGAACAACCCCCCAGGAAGAGTCACAGGGGCCAAACTATCGAAAATATCCCAGGTGCTGATATACAAAGCCCTCTTAGAGGAAGACCCCAGCCCGGAAACACAGAAAGCGGAGGCGAACATCACCAGAATAATAGACGACATGATGAGTGAATGGAAAATAGCCCCAACACCAGAACAAATATGGACAAACCTGAAAAGAAACCGAAACATATACCGCACACAAAGAGAATTCCTATTCAAAACAATCAAAGGAATACAAAAGGTAGGAAGCTTCTGGACAAAAATCCCAAACTATGAGGAAAGAGCAAACTGCTCAAACTGCGGCCAAACAGACTCAATGGAACACATACTCACTGAATGCCGAATCCCAGGCCAAGAAGCATGGAACCTTATTGGGGAACTGCGGAACCGAAAATACAGCGGCTGGACAAAGCCTACCTTCGGCTGCATAATGGGATGCACCTCCCAAAGATACAACGATGAAGACACCGAAGAGAACCCCCCAATAAAGGCAAAACAAGACTCTACCAAATCTTAGTCTCCGAAACAGCATACATCATCTGGACATTAAGGTGCACAAGAATAATAGAACACGACAAGGCAAGGAACAAATGGCCCACCTGGAACCAAATAACGAAACAACTAGAACACCAAATAAACCTCAGACTAAGAATCGACACCCTACAAACGAATGAAGAAAAATTCCAGTCGAAAGCACTAAGCAGCCAGAAAGTAATCGCAACATGGGGAGACTTAATCCACAATGAAAGGAACTACCCCCCTGACTGGTATAAGAGCCCCGGGTTTTTAGTGGGTATACGGCTTAAGCAAAGAAACGAACCACCCGATAGAAGGTAGCCGGAGTCCCACACTGCCAGAAAGCGTGCGTAAAGCATTTTCCCGGACAGTGGAAGAAACCGCGCAATAAGCGCACACAGCGAATCGCAAGAACTAACCTTGTTAGTGGCAAACGATTCATGCTCCACCAAAAAAAAAAAAAAAGAAATGCCAAATTTTCCTTACCTGTTAAATAGGCTAGAATACCCCATGTATTCCCCGCTGCTTTACCTCCCTATCATTCATTTTCGTCCTCTCACATGTGCTTCACGAGCCAGCAAATCTGAATAATCACATAGGAGAAATGTGTGGATATTGACTGCTAATTTCAATTAGCTAACGCACTGTCATATGATAAATTCAACTTGCGTTGGATGTCCTACGAAGTCCCCAAAATAGCCTAATGTTACGTGATGGCATTCTGCAAGAGTTAGAAATTGTCAAATCAAGATCACGTCAGTATCTCCTCGTACATCTGAGGGAAGCTAGCAAATAGTCGGGGGGCGGTGATCGTGCGGGGGGAGGCATTGCTGTCCCTGGCTTCCTTTGTGAGATATGACAACAAGCTCTTGTCGGGGCTTCGAGGACGGCCGAATGTTGCGCAAAATTGGACCAATCGGGTTGGCTGCGATAGCCATAAGAACAATATGGACAACAAGCACTGTCCAATATTAGTTTGGGGGATCAAAGCGTATACGCTGGAACATTCAACGCCTGAAAATGAATTTTAGATTCAGATTTTGGAGTGGGTGCGGGAAAGACTGCGATCGTTTCCGAGCAGGAGGTTTGGAATGATGAGTTCAGAAGATGCATCGTGGTACATGTGCGGTCGAGGTAATGCCCGTATGGTTGGTTGATGTTGACATCTGAGAATGATAGGTGGGATCGGGTTATATCATCGAAGTCGCAACCGCAGGGGTACTCTTGGCTTTCGCTTCCGATTTGACTTTCGCTCTTAACTTTCAAGCAACCAGTACGTTTCTGCACAAAATTGGGTAGCTTCGAATTATTGTTCCTTCGTTTACAAACTAAACTTGATGGATATTAGCGGAGGTAAGAACGTGAAGTTTAGGTACTCACTATCATACACCAGCCTTCATCGCTGGACGACCAGAAGCTTAAACCCTACTTGACGTCAACCCACTTTGATCTTGTTCATCTTTCTGGAACTGGAGGCCTGAGACTGGTGCAGCCGACTGTGTAGAAGTGATTTCCATTCCCTGCTCTCGTAACCGAACGATCATGCGACATGCCAAGCAGCGATACATTACCGCCATAAACCTAAAATTCAATGGCTGAATCAGAACAATCATAACTTCGGCCGAGGCATAGACTTACTCAGTACAAAACATCTTGGTTACACCGGGGAGCGTGAAAAAGAATACCGTTGACATGACGGAGATGACTGAAGAGAGTAAGAAAGGACATTACTCAGCAACATTCAGGAACACAATAGGAAACCCGTATATACCGAAGTTAAGGCCAAAGTAGACGGTTGCTTCGTGGAATACCTTGTTAATGAAAGGGCTGGTGTCGATAGCGCGGTACCGACGGATCTTAGCCACAACTACCATAACAACGAGAACTAGGGGGTTGTTCAGTCAATACCAGGTGGTGAAGGAGGGAGCACGCGTACTGATGTCAATTATACGACCATTCAGGATACCGAACATGCCGAGCTTGACTGAACCCTCCACGTTCAAGAGACACTGCGGAACGATAGTCGCATCGTGAATGGGAAGTTGTATAACTGATGGTGCATCTTGTGATTAACGAGTTAACTGCACCAAGGAAGAAACATACGCTGTTTTGATCGCATGGTTAGGGAGGATATTATGATACCACTCCCGATCATTGCCTGGTGTGGGTGTTTATTCTTTGGAGCGTTAAGACGAACTGATGATACTCACGACAGAAAGAGTGGACAAGAAAACGGCTACAGCTCGGGATGCACCCCATAGCGCGTAGGTGCGCAGGAAGAAGGTCACTATTTATCAGTCAGTTGTCGACAGAGGATAACAAAACCTTAGATCCTAACATTGTGCGGACGTCATTCCAATAAACGCGACCCCTGCGCAAATTGGAGTATGAGTACCATTCAAAATGAAACGACGTGAAGTTGGTGCTCACAGCCATGTGCGTACACAGTATTAAGACAGGGCTTCAGCTACGGTTATGCAACCATAAATTAGCACCCAAGCCCCGACGAATGTATCTTTATGAGCCTCACCTTCACCCCAGCATCAGCAAGACCTGAAACACGGCGACGAGTGAGCCCGAGCTTTGTCAAATAAAATGGGTGCACGAACTAGAGGCCCATATCACAAGATTGACAAAGCACGTATAACGACAGAGGAGGTAGAGAATATTGACTTTGGCCCACTTTCTCTTCCATATACTCTCAATCTGCCGCGCCATCAATAATTATGTTCAACAATCGGATTGCAACCAGAACATACCTCACGAAATAACAACTCCAAGTAATCAAATATGAAAAACGTATAGAGAGCAACTAAAAGAACTGTATCAGTTCCGTGATAAGAATCCTTAACTGTTACAAAGAAAGACCTTGGAGGTACTGTTAGGTAGAGTATGATTAATCTGAACCGATATCTCGAGAATGCGGACCCACCTCCAGAGCATGAGCCTCGCGAACCAGTGTTGAAAGAGCAGCACTGTACGCATCCATGTTTTTGTCAATAGCCTCAAGAGTTGAGTAGCCTACGTCTGGTTTGATGGACAAAAAGCTTTTGTGGTAGTTTATGGATTACCGCACACTCTTTTAAAGACTAGGATGAGCGATGAACCACGGTGCTGGAGCCATTTGTCTCTCAGGGGACGATGTTGCAATCCGTCGACCTCCCTTTCCTGTCGCTGCGGGTGTAATCGTCGTAAGTCATTTTTGCAGGCTAATTCAAATCGGACACACTATTCACCATGACATTGGCCCCATGACGAGCGACAGTGGAACAGACGACACAGGAAGTGAAGAGAAGTAGGGGTAGCTGTTTGTTGATAAGGGCCCATAATTCTTGTCCCCCAATGCTCGCAAACCACCATATTGAACGGAAAGACGACAAGTCGAAGTTGTTGGTGGACCATGATGCATGTGATTTGTTTGTGCCCTGAGGTAATGCCAAACATCCATGGAAATTACGCAATTCAAAAATAATCTCGTAGTCATGAACTCCAGCAAAGCCCTGCATTCTCGGCTGTCGTCCTCTTCACGAGCTTGGCTTTCGCGACAATACACAGACCCATATGTCAAGAAGCGCCTTTCCCATCCAACTGCATACCGTTCACGTTCAGCCTTCAAACTCATCGAAATTGATTCCAGGTCCGACTTTCTTACGAAACCTGATGTACGCGCTGTTGTTGACCTCGGAGCTGCGCCTGGTGGCTGGAGTCAGGTAGTCGCTGGAAAACTTGGATGGGAAGAGCAGGAGAGCCGGGTAATGAAAGTGAAGGGGTTCGCGTATGGCGAGCGCGGCGCCAAACTCAACGAGCGGTATGGGACATGGAGCTCGCCCAAGCTAGAGGCTCTGAAGGGGCAGGACAAAACTCGGAAGAATTGGAAGGAGAAAGAAATCCGCAACGAAGTGGAGGAAACTTTTGATCCTCTTAATATTGACGACGACAATGCTGGTGAACTACCAGTGGGGCGCGGAATTATCGTTGCGGTCGATCTACTACCCATGAACCCTATACACGGTGTCCTCGATATCCAGGCAGATTTTCTCAGACCTGAGACTGAAGACTTGATACACCAGCTCCTCAGCGTCAAGGGAAACATGGAAGGAAAAACAGACGTCATCCTCTCTGATATGGCTGCAAACTCGACTGGAAACGACATGCACGATATCGAGTCGAGTTTGGAAGTCTGCGAGTCTGTTTACGACTTCGCCACGCGCCATCTACGCACTGCAGAAAGCATTGGAAGGAGAAAAGGCGGCGTGCTACTGTAAGCACCTAGTTTTTTCGTGTTTTCACGAGATTGACTAAGCTTTTCATACAGGATGAAATACTTCACTCATCCTCACCTACAAGAATTCTGCAGAGCAAAACTTACGCCAAATTTTCACGACGTGAGGGTTGTCAAGCCACCTTCGAGTCGTTCTGACTCCAAGGAATCATACTTCCTTTGTCAAGGCTGGAAAGGCTTATGATAATTCACAAATTACCCGAGCCGTGGGACCGGATTTTCGACTTCTTGGTTACACCTTTCACCCCCATCTGACTTGATGCATATACGATCTCAATTCCCACCATCTCTACTATTTACCCCCACTCAAGCACAATTACCTCACTAAATTTGGATGAATGGTTTCTCGCCACTCCTGAGGTTATTACTGGTCAGCTTTCTTATTACTACCTGTGGGATATATGATGCCAACGAGCACAGTTGTCAATATATAGGTGTAAAACAACATCATTGGTGTGTTTTCCTGCCCTTCGAGCAAAAACAAGATCAACAATGTACATTGGCGCCAAAGCAAGACACGATGGCTCGAGGAACAGCATGGCGCTTGAAGACCATACCACGGCCCCATTCGCTTCTACTGAATCCTTCATCCTCATCTCCCTGGCCTCCCTCAAACATGTTCGCGTTCAAGGCGTCTATTTCCCTTCCCGTACTCTCATCTCACTTCTTCCTCTCTATTTACGTGTCCCACAGACAACTATATCGTCACACTGGCTAGAATGAGCCTTGCGACAATCAATCGCCAACCTCCCTGAAAGCCAGATGTTATATCGTTCACCTGTTCCCTAACTACGACGGTCGGGTTGCTCTTGCCAACCACAAACGCGGCACCATCTATCGTAAGTCGCCTCTAACATCATGAAAAGACGAACGCTAACAATTGCTGTGGGACATGATCCATCTCAGGAACAGGAAGTATCAGTCCCAGTTCTTCGGATACCTTGTTGCCGCGGTTCCTATCGGGCATTGGCACTGACAGATCCTGTCGGTAAGATGCAATGCGACACCGTTTAGGTGGTCCCAAGAAGCGGGGGGTTCCTTGAATCGTCACTTCGGAGATCTCAGAAGCGGACGGGATCAAGAATGTTGCGGCCCGATTGGGGATTCGTACAAACGTATCAGGTGCTCTTAATTGTTATAGGCTACCGTGGAGTTTGATGGCACCTATCACTCACATGTTGAGGTTGCCAGGTCATGCTCT